GGGAAAGAGACTGTCTGCGACTGTGAGGGAGAGCGGGATGATGTGGGGTTTAAAAATACATTAAGAAAAGACCCATTTTTTTTTTTAAAAAAAAACAACTTTACGAATAAATCGCCATTAAAATAAAATTTTATGTACAGAGCCCCCATTGACTGGTTGACCACGAAATGTGGGGAAGAAAGACGAAGAAGACAGTTTAATTTGGGGAATTATGTTAATTAATTAGTGATTAATTTTTGAATCTCCGCATAGATTTGCTTAATCCCCCGTGAGATTTGGGTCATTAACTTGTTCCCTTATTTGGCCCTGAGAACTCGTCTTATTTACCACATATGCCCGCACTTTCTCCGTCTGGACCACAGCCTTCACCAGTGGCATTTCTGTCACTTCAGCTCGCAATAATCTAATTATAATTAATGAGGAGGCTCCAATCCCCTGCTTCTCGGCCTAGACAAACATTTATGAAAACACTTTCCTTTTAGTATATCAATTTCTTAATTCTCAAATAATCATATTATAATAATATATGAGGATTTAATTAACACTTTTACAACAGTCTAAGGTATTAATCTAAAATTAAATTATAAAAAATGACAAATATACATGCATGATCTAACGCTTGGGAGTTCAAATTTTGAAAAGAGATTCCAACAGTCATTTTTAATAATAGATTTAGACATTTTGAAATATAAAAATGATTACTAGAACAAAGACCGTATTGCACGTTTACCCCAAAATCAGTTTCCTTTTTATTTATTACATTTATTTTGTGTCTTTTGGTATTCTTGAAGCCTGTCTGGATACCACATGGCAAAGACATTATTTTAATATTTAATTAAATTTTTTTGGGTAAATTCATACACGGATTCATTCCATTACGAGTTTTTCTTGTAACCCATAGAGGGAATATTTGAATTTCGAATCATGCGACTGTTAGTTGCCGTTAATCTCTTTGTTAACGTTAGTCTCTATTTCCTGTGTTAGTTTGTTCTTAATTTTGTACTCCCTCCGTAAAATATTTGTGGTTTTAGAGATTATTTTTGTTTATAAATAAATGTCATTTTCTAATTTTATCCTCAAAATTAAAAATGTCAAACTTCAATAGAGTATTAATGTGAATATGATTTTAATAAGGGTATATATGAATTTTTAAAAATTTTATTAAAAACTGTAAAAAAAAATTAAAACAACAATTATATTTTCTAACATTTGGAACTGAAATCTTTTTCCACAAAACAAGCCATTAAAAATAAAATAATAGATGGTCCGGAAACAAATTCCGAAAAACAATAAAAATATATAAGCAAAGAGGAATCTTGTTCAAACTAATATTTAATTGATAAACACAAGTCTATGATATTGCGATCTGTTTTAAAATAGTATTTAATGGTTGAGTATATAAGCTATAAGTATTTGAGAATAAGATACACGAGTGTGTAGGATATGATATGCTATTTCTTTGTGGGAAAAAAAATTAAACATTAAAAATAGGGGTGGCCATTTCGGTTATTAACCGAATAACCGAACCGAACCGAACCGAATAAGACATAACCGTACCCGAACCGAACCCGACATCAAAACCGAACGGTTATGATTTCCTTAAACCCGAAGAACCGAAACCGAAACCGAACCGAACCGAATAAAAAATAACCGAAAAAACCGAGCGAATAACCGACAATTTTCTTTGAAAAATTGAACTTTTTACCAAAACCGAACCGAACCCGAACCGAAAAATAACCGAACCGAACCGAACCGAAATTTATATAAAAACCGAATGGTTATAGTTTTTCTATAACCGAAATAACCGAACCCGAATATAACCGAACCGAACCCGAACCGAAACCCGAATTGGCCACCCCTAATTAAAAACATGATACGGAAATTATTTACTTCAATTATAATATTAATTTGTAGCCCAGCTAAGTTGGCCAAAGTCAAAATAATCATTCACATGTGTTCCATAAAGCTTCTAAAATTTAAACGTTAGGTCTTTGGGAACTATTGATGGCAAATCTTCAAATTTTAGAATTCTTAATTTTTTGCTAAACAAAACTAGGGTTCTTATTATCTTATTAAAACCCAACAAACTAAATATAAAATTTAATGTATTATTTATTCTCTATCTCACACAAATACACACACACACACACAAATGCTTAAACTGTAGAATTTGTATAAAATAATTTTAAAATTCGTAGTTTTGTATATAAAAAAAAAAGTATACGGAATTTGAATATGAACTATACGACGTACAAATTTGGAAGAGTGTGATGAATGATGTTCAAGGGTAAAGGGAAAAGGGGGAGTGGGGGGACCAAAAGTTAGATCTAAGATTCAAATCCGAAAGGGCAGAGATATAGAGATCTGAACAATTTGAAGAAGGACAATCTTGATAAGAGCCTGTGTCATGCTGGCTGGTCCAAAATTATTCCATTTTATTTTTAAATAAACTCCTCCACTCCCCTATAACCCCATCCATATCCACCATATATGGTCTTTACCCAAATAGTTATGTAATATGCATATATATATATATATATAATGTGTATAGCATATATGAACCAAGCTTGTATATCATTAATATACTACTGAATTTGATGTATATAAGTATAAATGAGAACTAGTATTGTACTAAATACATCTCTAACATTTCCCCGCAGTATGTGCTATTTTGTATATAATATATAATTATCCGTGTATCACAGAACATTCGGAAATTTTGTTTATTTTTCGTACATGTATTTTCTCACGGCATTGTACCAATAAAACGCAACATGCGAAACACAGGCGCATTTTTTATTTGTGCTTTTCCATATTATATAAATTAAAATATCAATTTTATCATTTAATATATAAATAAATATTTTTTGTTGATATATATATATATATATAATAAATATTAAATTATCTCATATGGTCATACAAATACTGTATTTATTTCACCATATCCAATTGATTCTTTTTTCCTGTAAGTTTGTAAAAAAAAAAGTCGTTTCATCTATTCAATAATGCATTGAAAGTATTTGAATGTATTGTAAATAAATAAATTCAATAAATGATATGCAAACACTGAATCGAAGGACATGTAACATATTTTGCGCATATGTCTCAAAGACAGTTGCCACCAACCAACCAACCAACCAAACACCGATCGCATGCATGCATTCATCATTTACTGCATTATACATAAAACGCCCCACAATAATCATTGATATTTGATAGATTTAAAAGTTACAAGATTTGCCTTTTCTAAGTTAAAAGCAAAATAGACGTTGGACACTGCCTTTAAAATTTTCAAAAAATATATGATTTTTTTAATTTCCGTTAAAATTAAAAGGTGTAAAAATATATACGCCATTTTTATTTGAAATGTAGTTTTCAAAAAGTTCTTATAAGATTCTATATATTTTTTAGGACTTTTCGTTAAAACTATTATTTTAACTGATAATAGAAAAAAAAATTAAGTATTTATTTTAATGGATTTTGTGTAATTATATAGAAATTTGTTTTTAATTGGGTTTTGTTTGGTGTTTTATAAAAATATTAGAAAAGTTAATCGTGGGCCCATACCCAAAATGACCCAAACCCAAATAAAAGAAGCTCGGATCATTTGACGTGGCCTCCATGTTCTCCTTCCCCCTCTATCGTCCGCGTTCGTTCAAACGTCGCCCACTTCCGACCTCCAAAATCAAAGCCTACGCTCTCAAACCCTAGAATTTGGGGAATTCCCATGTTCATTCTGCCATTCTAGTGTGCGTTTCTTTGTAAAAGAGCGAGATGGTAGGGAGCAATTCGCTGGCGGGATTGCAAAATCCACTCGAAATTAGCGAGAGAATACGCTCTCGAAGCATCTTATGGCACTTCTGTCATCTTCTTCGATGGTGCCATTGCTCGGATCAATAAGCAAATAGTTCCCCTTTCTCTTTCCTCGCCGCCGACATCGAGAGAAACACGACAAGTTGTGATCATGTGCCCTATTATTATGTTGTCTCGTTTTGTTCATAGTCAATCACTTCTGCTCTCGAACGTTATAAATCAAACGCATATATAATTAAAATATTTTAGGATGGATATCACCTAGGATCCGTGGCGCAATGGTAGCGCGTCTGACTCCAGATCAGAAGGTTGCGTGTTCGATTCACGTCGGGTTCAATCCTCCCGATCCTGGATCCCTTTTTTTTCCTATTAAATTAATTACTTATCTTCATTGATACTAAATTCCTAATATGCCCTTATGAATGACGACTTAATTAATTAATATCGTTGGCTTGTTAATTACCATTAGTCAACTTTCCATTTATTGTCGACCGATCAATATTTTATATTATTGTTTTTAATCCACTCGTCTTAACCATTTTGATTAACTTTTTTTTTCGTCGGTCCATTAAGAAGAGATAGATACCTTGTTCGTCTTCAGAGGCTTTTACAAAGACAAAATCCTGCCATTGTTTGGCCATGCAACTAGGGGTGGGCACGGGTCGGATATCCGGGAAAATTGAGAGATTTGGATTCGGATCCAGGAGACTCGGGTATTTAACTATAAGATTTGTATCCGGAATTTGGTATTTACGAGTATCCGGGGTACGGGTATCCGGAATAATAGTCGGGTACTTGCGGATATCCGGATCCGGATTTATTTAAGAAAAACAACAATATTCATATATAAAATTTTTAAAACATGAAGATATATTTATAAAAATTGTTGAATTATGATAAAATATATAAGACAAAAGAGATAATAAGAGACAAATAATAATAAATTTAAATTTTTTGAATTAATATTAAAAAAATATGAAATTATTTCATCTAAAATAATTGTATTTTATAAAAATATTATATAAATATAAGATATAATTATTTATAATCATAATACGCGGGTACCCGCGGGTATCCGGTTTTAAAAATTCTATTATCCGGATTTGGATCCGGATTCACGGGTATT